CTGTGTCTGAGATTTCTCCCACCACCTCAGTACAATGGAGGTGAATGGAGTTCTGTTGTTGATTATTATGGATTGTGTTTGAAATATGATATTAGCTTTGAATGTTCTTAGTTTCCTCCTTTATTTCTATCTATATTATTTGTTTTTTTAATCCATTCTTTTATCCAAAGCCATTGGGTCATAGGTGGGTGGGTACTGGCATTGGGTCTGTATTTGTGTTGTTAATTGTGTTGTTGTTGTGTTTTTATTTATTCATTTGTATATTGTAAAGACATAAAAACAGATATGTTGGCACATCTTGCCTCCATTGTGATGAGAGTGTATGCAGGTATTTAACTATGAAATGTACATTCCTTTTGTATGTGTCTGCCTCAGTGAGTGGGAAGTGAAAACTCCTGAGTCAGAGCAGCAGCAATGTGTTGGCTGTGGGCCTCAAATAAAGCAAGGCCGGACTTTCAGACTGCCTGTAACAGCCTACTGCTGTCATAATATTGGAAGACTCTCAAATTCTGTGAATAAAATGTCAGAGGGGAAACCCCATCTGAGCCTGGCGACAGGAAAATTACAGAACTGTAAAAGTTTTCCTTTTTACAGACCAAAAGACCAGACACAAACTCATCAGGCATATCTGACATTGATTATGAGAAGGTGGAGTGTGTGTGTGTGTGTAAGAGGGGTCAACACAAAGGCAACTATGGTTAGAGCTTTACAAAATAGTTGCACTTAGAAGAATTGTAAAGAGATTAGATCTTATTTGTCAGAAGTATATGCCAAAGTAAAAAGGCTACTCCAGAAGTTTGTTGTTAATAAAAGGACAGTGGTTTCCTCTTTCTGTTTGAACATTCTTCCATCTTACAGTTGCAATCAATCAAATGGCAGGCGTAGAAAGAAAGAACCTCTTAGACATACATCTCTAATAGTCAAAATGAATTATCTGCATTGGAATGAAACTACGTCAAGAACAAAATCACATTGTGTGTCCAACTTGGCGGGCGCCTGATAAGAACAATATGAACAGTCCACTTATTATTTCCATTCAAGTCAATGATAGCCTCTGGGAAGCCATTGCCTAATTCAGCTGCTCCCAACACCTCCACCTTTTCTATGGTATGCACACATGACTGAGTCACCTGAAGAATATGAGACAAAAAGGACTCACCTATTCTCCCTGCAGAATACACGTGGGAGAGATCTAGTCAAACACATTCTGTCTCATGTATTCAACACAGCAGTTCTGGAGATTTACAGTGTTTGACTCAAAGCTTGCTAAAAAACCCCACAACATTCCAAAACCGCAGTATGAATGTATGGGAAGCAGTGACTGCTTGTAATTGCAGGCTTTGTGAAAAGAAGTAACTCTATACCCTTTAGTTCCACGTACAAAGACCTCATGGAGCCAATGGCGTAAAGTAGTTACGTCGGGCCCAAGAGCTTACTATTATGAGGGGCCGTAGTGCACGCAGTTACTAGTGATGAAGCATACACACACTCAAACACACACAAATACACACACACACACACACACACACACACATCATCATATCGTCTCGTCACATGATCAATAGAGACGTGACATTAGACAATATCAACATACATATTACCCAGCAATCATTATTGCATATCTGTATATGACAAAAATACCAAAGAAATTATAAATTATTAATTTAGCCTAACTAAATATTATCTAGTGTTTATTTATTTATTATAGTTTATGCAGAATAAGCACAACATTTTGATATTGCTACTGACAATTTTACCAAAAATTGAAAACCATAACGGAGATGGATTTGCGTTTCCCAGGACAAATATCATAAATGGCACCAGCTTTATATCTATGCTATTTCATCTATTTCATTTCAACAAGCATGTCTCTAAAGTGACTAATTGAATTGCTTGTTGAGAACACATTGTTCCACACCAGATTAAATTAAACCTCTCTGGCTCCAGAGTGACAGTATTGTGTTCACAGATGGAGCATATGGTTCATATTAGAAATACGTCCCTCTAAATACATATAGGGGAACCTCACAAAGGCAGGAACACTAATTCACTAGCACTTCATTTACTGTGGGCGTAAGTTTCTCTTGGTCCTGAATATCTTTGTACTAATTGTCCCAACTGCCAATCTTTCTTTTAGGTATAAATAGTGTGTGTTATATGGATCGGTTATCATGTTTTTTGTTTGTTTATTGTCTCTGTACTCTCCAGCCCCTGTGTGGAGGGGACATGCTGGTAGACGTAAATGCATATTTATAAATCCAACAGAGACATACTGGTGTTGGTGAGTCATAGAGAAACCTAAGGTCTCTGAGTTCAACATTTCTTTTATTTTCTTTAATTTTACATACTTTTTTAATTTAGCTCAGTTTAAATAGTCTGCAACATGGTGTACAGCCGAGGACATCACAGTGAACTAAATTATTTTTCTACTTTTTTAAACATGTTTTATTGAAATGTTCACCTGGTAAGCAAAGTCAAATATTTTTGTGTACACTTGATTTCTTTAAGAGGACAGACAACAAGGTAACAAACAACAGTAATGTGCAATTTGTTTTACTGTATCCATTGCAGAATAAAAAACAAAACAATATTTGATTTATATTTAAGGGTACATACTTAGAAAAATGAGTTGATGTGGTACATTTATGTACTGATGAACTGATGTGGAGATGCAACAAAAGAATAAATGCTTGTCTTTGCAAGCTTTGTTGCTTTCAAATAGGAAAATGTACTTAATATATGTATTTTCTAGATTAAATCAATAGGAGTAACTATATTTAACTGGGTATAGAGGGTGTTGATGCAAAGATGTATTACAATGACAGTCTGAATTGTCAGTGTCAGTGTCCAGTATATTTTTAATGTTAACCCTCCACCTTGTGTAAAAGCTCTTTAAAGAACAGCAGAACTATTGTAGGTTAATCCCAAAGGCACAAGGCTGAGCTCTAGCTTTTAAAATAAAAGGTGTTGATCTAGTTTCACCCTGTATGTCAAGCCGAGAGCAGTGATCCAATGATCCATGATCATGTAACTGAGCGACTCTGAATTTAGCACAGATACACAATCCTCCATAGAGGCACTGCAATTAATCTCCCATGCAAGACTTTCTTTAAGAAATGTTTCTTCTCAGAGAGATTATTCTGGGCACTATACTCTGTTGTTGTTGTTGTTGTGGGCATGCACTTGGTGTGTGACTTCTGGCTAACAAATACATCAGTTCTCCTCTGTTTTGACCATCTTATCATGTAAGTTTAGTTAGATACGTAGTGACTGTAAGTAGTTGCTCAAAGAGATTTTTAGAAAAGAAGGCAATGAACCGGTAATAATAAGACCCCACCTGACGTGGGTGCCTTGTGTGCCTGAATAAAAAAGTCTAGTAATCCTTTAAGCCAATAAATACAGGACGCAGCCAGAGAGATGAAGGACAGAAGTCAAACACAGTTGCATGAGCTGTCCCAGAAAATACCTTGAGGGTGTGGGGAGAGCATACACTTTTCCATTTGCACTGTAGTGATTCAGCACTCAGGTAAAGGAAAGCTTACAATGGATCATGTCAGGAAAAAGACAAAGAATTAGGAGTGCCTGAGGTATTTATTTTCACGCTGTAGCTTGTGGAAACATATTGTATATCCTGAAATGTATTATATGAATGTATGTTGTTCTAAGGTGATACCTAAGAATATGCACTCTTAGTAACTTCATACAGGAGAATATAAAGCTGTGCTGGTTGTCTACCTTACAGCCAGTCATCACTGACCACAATACAACTCCAGGTTGCAGGAAGATGTCACAGAGACCCATGTGTACAATTAAAACCTTTGTGGGTGTTTGCGGTGATGAGAATAATGGGTGCTTTCTTTCCACTATAAAAGCAGTAAAAGTACCTTTAATTACTAATCACAATTTGGATGTACTTAACTTGAGGTTTCTATTCTATGATATTTCTACTTCACTACATGTCAGCGGCAAATATTGTACTTTACAACAGTTATTTGACAGTTACTTTGCAGATCAAGAATTAACATATCAAACAGATGATTAATTTATGAGGTTTGAATTTAGATTAAATTACACAACTTGACATGAACTAACATTAAAATGCTGCATACATTTAAGCAATAATACTGCAATATATTCATGAACGTATTAATGTACAACACTCTGATGGAGGCAATTTTGTATTATTAGTACTTTTACCTTTGATACTTTGAGCACATTTATCATGCTGTTTGCTCTCAATATTTTTAGATGCACTGAGTCTTCTATTTTTTACCTCTTATCGAAATGCATTATTTTATCCCAAAAACATATTTGTGTATTAAAACACTAAAGAAAAATGATAGTTTAATAATGGAGAAGAGACTACAGAGTGATTTCTGGTAACTATAATCAAGAGGCACATGATAAAGCATCACAAGATATCTCCCACCAATAGCTAGCAGTGTTTTGTCCTTTCAAAGGTCATGTGTTCATTTTCATGCGAAACTCTATTCCTGGAAGAACTTTGAATTCCAGACAATATCGCTTTATTTGAGAGTTTATCTCAGGGATATGCGCACTTGTTTTAATTAACTCCTAATGTGCTGTTTATAATGGTGAAATGTAACACAATATATTTTGTGTACTGCTCTTGATTAGTGTTGTACATAAGATTATCGGCTGCCTGATTAAGTGATTTATTAGATTCTCCTCATATAAAAGAAAGTTTTGGAAAAAATAAAGTGTTTTGCGCTCTCTTTCTCTCTCTCTCTCTCTTTCTCTCTCTCTCTCTCTCTCTCTCTCTTTCTCTCTCTCTCTCTCTCTTGCGTTCTCTCTCTCTCTTCATTGGGTATGGTCAGGCCTTTATCTAGTAGAGGCTTCTAATTCCTGAAGTGAAATCCTCTTAGGATCTATGCTCTATTTCTGTTTGGTCTATAGGGTCTTTTTAAAATCTCCCTTAGACCAAGCTCATTGGCTGGAAAAGACACACGCATGCACACAAAATCACACACCATCCAACAACAGATAGCTCAGTGAAGTGCTCGAGTGTAGACCAGCGCAAGGTTAGCTACTGACAAAAAAGGAGGACTGAACTGTTACTGGTAAGAAAAACTTTATTGATATCTTTTATTTTGGGAAGATAATGGAGTGGACTCGTGTATATGTAGAAATAGGGAGTTTAATTTTCAATGGATTAAATGGGAGATAGATTATTCTGTTCGTATGTTTTTACATGCATTTGAGATAGATTTTGAGGACCATCTTGAGTTTTCGCATATATAATTTGCCATTTACATTTTGTTGCAACATTGGGTATCGTATAGAGAGTTATTTTTTTGTTTATTTCTTGTTTTAAAGTGAAAGCTTCTGCATTGAATGACAACAAAAGATTATTCATTTTGGTCCTGAATTTAATCATGGGTCTGTGTCAAATTGAAAGTCAGCTGTTTACAAGAGTTTATTGTCTATCTCTTGCTCACACACACAGAGCTGAAACACTTATATGTGACTTCATTTGCTCATGCTAGCAAATCTCCAATTGATTAATTTGGATTTGGGGGTTAGAAAGATGGCTACAAAGATCATCAGCCCAGATCAGCACTGTGACTGCACGCAGGAAGGAAGACTGTAATTGAAACACTGGGGAAGGTCATTTAATCCAATGAAACAGTTGCTCTGCAGACGTCACAAACTGTTCCACATACGGACACCACAGACATGTCAAAGCAGTGTGAGACGCAGAGTGTGCCAGTTCCATCTGTTCAATCTTAAAACAGTAGCACAGCAAGCAAGAGAGAGAGAGAGAGAGAGAGATCTGTTGCAGAGCAGTAATCCTCTTTGACTGCATTAATTCAATTAGATAGTGTGGGACTCATTTGGTATCCAGTAGCTCTGTCACAGTGCAAAGATTTAAAATCTGTCGTGATATTTGGGGATTTTTTTCTTTTTCCGATGCGAGGGTCCAAGGATGTCGTGTGTTGTATTGATTGTGAGGGCTTTACAATTCATTTTAGGATTTGTGATATTGGGCTATACAAATAAAATTCAATTGAGAATTTAATTAATACAGTTATCTTATTGATAGCAAGTATAAGAGTTACGGGCCATTAACACTTTAAAAAAATTGATAAATATGATTCTAAATTTTTTATCTTACAGGTGGCTAACCAGAAAAAATGTCTGACAAAATGCTTGATTTGGAAGAGACCGCAACCCAGACAGGTGAGTGAAAGCAGTGTTTTCAAACATAACACAGTAACTTAATGTGTTGACAACCTGGTGACCTTTCTTTGTTCTTGTGCGTTCAGCAGTGAGTCTGGTCAATCTTTGCAAACATACATTTTGGTTGTAAGTTATTAAGAAGTCTTCAGAGAAATTACAAACAGAAAAGCATTGGCATTGATTTCAGAGCAATTGGCTCTAAATGCATAAGAGGAAGACCAAAGCAGAGTACAGATTTATAAAGCTTTGGCAGTTTAATTGGCGCTCTAATCGTCTTTTTGTTACGCAACAGTGGTGCAATTAGTGCACTTCCTTGAAGGTTGAGACAAAGCTTTCATACCCAAATTAAAACAGGAAACAATACCCACCAATGACTCATAGACTCACGTTGTCATTTTACACATGATTAAACCAGTCATTTAGCTTGAAGTCCAAAATATTGATTATTTGGACCTTGAGAGCAAAGTTTAAGAATGCAGCTTTATAAACCAAGTTGCTCTTGGTGGACTAAGATTGAATTGTGTTTGTAACCAAAAATGTTTTCCTTTTTTTCTCACCTCTTTCAACCTTTACATGGTCTTTTTTTAAATAGTTGTAATAATAATAATTCATATTAAATATTAAATATTTATAATAATACAAAATGTGTTTTTATGCATATGCATTTTCTGAATAGAGTTACAAAAGGTCAAAGTTATTCAGTAAAACTGAATAAATAAAGAAAAGAAAATTATAACAGTTGAATAATGAGGAGCATACAAAAGTAAAAACCAAACAGAATCAAAACATAGTCACAATCTAAGAAAAGGCTTTCTAAATAAAAAGAAAATATTTAAAAGATGCTCCAGAGTTGGGACTCCTCACTACCCTTTAACAACTGAATACTGTTTGCCTTCTCTATAGGTCCAAAAGGAGTCATCAATGACTGGAGGAGATTTAAGTTGGAAAGTATGGACCAGGAAAACTTGCCAGCTGCAAAAAAGGAACTGCTGAGACAGATGTCATCTCCGAGCAGACCAAAAGATGATGCCAGAGCACACATTAACCGCAAGGTACAACCAAACAGACCACACACAGGACTTTAACTTTGCTTTTGTTGTTCGTTGCAGTATTCTCCGAAAGACCAGAGGGCATACAAACAAACTGCGCTGTGACGAGTCAAAAAGACAATAAGTGTTACAGGCAAAATGTCATAAACCAACCACCTCAATGCCAAGGAGGAATAGTTATTAACTATAAACTCCTATATCATATTCATGGGCTACTCTATTGTCTTTTTACAAGCCCTGATAGAAGTCAAGTGTTAAATATATTATAATGAAAAAAAGGTTGAATATCCTGTAAACAATTTGATTTGGCTGACAAGATATTTACTCAAATGTAGATTTTTAAGACCTCCCGTTTTAGTGACCGTAGTGACGTACAGTATATCGGTCCAACAAACACAGGACTTTCAACCGAGAGGCCAGTGTTGTTGTGGTATAACTACTGTACGTAGTTATTTTAAGCCTGACTAAGTGGTTTTGTTCAAGCTAACATTCGTTCCGACCTACACAAAAAAATTGTGTCCCTGTACACAAAACCAATAGATTGCATTTTGAGACTATTTCACAAACTGCCATGAGACTGTGTTGAAATTAGATGCTTAACCAAACACCGCGACAACTTGCTGAGACTTCGTGCACGACATCCATGTGCACAAAGCGCAAGCCGTGATGACGTCATTTTGTGGCACGACCACCATTGATGTTTAAAGAGAACTGGATACTGCTTTGGGGGCGGCACTCCATTCATTCCTATTAAAGCTGCTCAGTGGTGCATGAGTCAAAAAAAGTTTTTTACAACTTTTAGGATTTTTTGGGCCCCATGGCATCACATGATGGACCCGGAAATTGTTGTTACTACTTGTTTAAAAGCCTGGCACTCTTTCTGGCGCCGGCTTCACTGCTGAGTAAAAACCAAGCTTCATCATGCTAATGGTGCACTGGTTACAGAAAATGAGCGGAACAGCAGGCAAATTACAAATAATGTACTTCCATGGCCAATATAAATTCTAACTTTTGTGTTGATATAATTTTTTCAGATGAGTGTCCAAGAATATGAACTGCTTAAGGAGGAGGATGAGGGATGTTTGAAGAAATACAGAAAACAATGCATGCAGGATATGCATGATAAACTCAGCTTCGGGCCCAGGTTTGAAGGTGTGCATGACCTGGACAGTGGCGAGGCCTTCCTAGAAGTCATCGAGAAGGAGCATTACAGCACAGTGGTGGTTGTCCACATCTACAAGGTTGGGGTCAAAGGTTGTGAGGAGCTCAACAACTGCCTGGATTGCCTGGCCACTGAGTACCCCACTGTAAAGTTCTGCAGGATTGATGCTGTCACATCCGGTGCTGCCGAGCGTTTCTCGGATGATGTTTTGCCAACGCTGCTGGTGTACAAGGCTGGAGAACTACTAGGGAACTTCCTGGCCTGCATACAGCACCTAACTGAGGAGTTCTTTGCCACTGATGTGGAGGCCTTCCTCAACAGCTATGGCCTGCTGCCAGAGAAAGAGTTGGCTGGTATGGAAGATGAAGAGGGAAACGATGTAGAGTAAACAAAGAGTTTGGCTGCTGAAGGAAGCTGTCTTGGAAGGCTGGATAGAGAGCGATGAAAGACAATATGACATAGGACAAATAGAAAAACCATAACATCTCCACAAGCTCACTAGTGTTTGAGAATTGTTCTCTAAATGAGAAATGTTGCATCCAGTTGGTGAAGGAACCTTGATGTCCCGAATACGAGTGCTCTCAAATATGAGTGCGGGTTACAGTAAGGTGAGGACATACAGCTATTATTTGTGAAAATATATCACAATTAACCTCACCACCACCCAAGCAAAAGCCAAAACCAGGTTAACTGTACAGGTTAACTGTACTTTATTTTGTAATGATAGACAATATTACATGATGTATGTAGTTGTACTTGATGTAAAAATGTATTAAATCAAATATTTTTTTTAGCATTTGTTTGGGTTGATCTGTACACAAGTTATTTATAAATCCAGGGTTTTGCAAAGTGACATTCTCAATATTTAAACACATGTATACTTCAGTTCTCTGTGGTGTTTTTGCCAAGATGTATAGAAAAAAAAATCCTTTAAAGGACAAATAGGACAGGAACTCTTAATGCTTAAGAGGCCAAAGAACTCTGGATGTGGAAACATTTTTGTGCATGTTTTCCATCTGTCCAGTACAACATGACCTACCTGCTTCTTAAGCCAATGTGGTGGGATGTGCATATTGTGTCTGGAAAAACACATTCATGAGTCTCTGGTGTTTTACCATCATCAGTGAAACATCATCAGTGAGGAGTTTTCCCTTGTCTGTGTATTTTATGTTGTAAAAGTGGGAGAAAGTCATCAGACTATACAAGAAAGGAAACCATTAGTTTTGGGTTTTCTTTGTGTGATGTGACTCAGCAATATCAATATATAGTCATATTTGATTTTACCATGGGTTTGTTACCATTTTAAACTGTGTACTGTAATATGTTGAAACAAAGCTTACTATACATGTTGTCAAGAATAAAAATGAGACATCAATGAGAAAAGATAGTTACGTTTTGCATTTTATTCAATTGTGGTACTAGAAGGTCTACTGATTGCTTGGCAACCTCACAGTGACAACAAGATGCTTGGAAATCAAGAAAGTAGCCTAACCATAACCTTTGTGTTTTTAACGCTGTGGCTTTTGTGCTGAATAAACAAACAAGATATAACGCGTTGCATAGAGAGCTTTAAAGGTGCTTTTGGGCAGAGGAAGGGTTGTTTTCCCCACTGTTTCCAGTCTCTGTGCTAAGCTAAGCTAACCACCTGGCTGTATACCTTCATTTTCAGCCCACAAATAATTAGTGAGAGGTATCAATCGTCTCATCTAACTCTTGGTAAGAAAGTGAATAAGCCCCCTTGAGGCAAATTTGTGATTTATGATATACAACGAATAAATAAAACTGACTGAAGGTTATTTCCCAAAATGCTGAACTAAATGTGAGACAGCTTTGCAAAACTCACCTCCTCTTTAATCACCACAATTCTATCACCACCGTTATCTTAAGATTGTCCATAGAGATTCAGCCAAGAATGAGGCTCCACCATCCAACTGATATCTCTTCCCCACCAACCAATAATGTCATGACTCCTGAGGGGGGTCCTTCCATAACCCCTCTGTCTTCAAGGGCCTGCCTCACGCTTTCTTTATTCCCCAATATAACATACAACTAAAACAACAACTTAAATTGCATTTCTACTTATTTAAGAAAATTTGCAAGCTTTTTCGAAAGAATATTATCTTACCTCAGTGTATTTCAAAGCAAAGGCACCAAAGGAGGAACCCTGCAAACTGCACTGATGCAGGGTTAAATAGCACAGCAGAAGACATCTCTCCTGTTGAAGCAAGCTGCCACATGTTAAATCTCATCTCTTAGTCTTGTAGCATAGACTTGACTCCCTTGTGACCCCAATGAGCTGCAGGCATGCCAAAACCATAACATAAAAGCCAATTGAGATTTTTAAGTAAAGACTTGCAATACTAACCCACACTCTGATATGTCGTGTTAAGTTAATTAAGTTGCCTCTGTACTGTAGCTGCCAAACACATTACCACAAAAACACATCCACTGCTACAGTGGGACACAGAGGTTTGTAATAAAGGTAGACCTTCTTTACACAATTATATTCATAAAAATCATGATGAATGTGTAAGTTTCTATATTATCAAAAAAGAGCCAGTTCATTTTTGTCTTTTAAAACTTGACGGCAATCATAATCTCTTCACTTGCCAGCTAGTCTCGACAATAGATGTTTAGTTGTTTGATTACTGCTTCCTTTTATCTTTAACTGAATTAACTATCTCTGCAGTGATGCAGCCTCACCTTTACCATGTTTAACATAGTCATGATATCAGATATCAGCAAGTAATGCTTCATCAAAGAGTGTGACTTGGTGATGCATAGTGCAGAGATATATGCTGAGGTGATCAGACCAATCTTTTTACAGGATTAAAGACAAAAAAGTGTTTCAGTCATCTCAATCTCACTGTTGAATTGATCGATATGAGGCCATACACAGTGGCAAGCTTTATGCCTTTCCAAAGCACCTCACAGCACATTCCAAGGTGTCTACTTTTATGTGGTTTCATGTAAGTATACTTCCATTCATCTTGGATGTATTGCCTGCAAAGGAGGACTTGATTTCTAATTACTCATAATGCAACACTTAGTGAACTGCGACACGCTAACACATAATTCTCTCAGGATGTACACGCGTCTGTGTTTCCACAGTACCACATCTGGCTCGGCTTGCATAGCCTCTGGCTGGTAACACATCATTTCTTCACGGTAGCGTGTTTAAGATTTATCAAAACCTTTTGGATACCTCCCACAGGAGCTTTCCGAGGAGTGCGAGGTTTCTTGGGATGCCCAAACATACAGACAGCGGCTGACCTAGACTACAGCCCTGTATGCAAGAGTGGCAGCCAACTAGCCAAAACACCCTATTTATACTCAGACAGTTGCATGTGTGCCACCACTGGCCCACAATGTTCACACCAACTACTTCTACCAAGTAATATGCCTCCGAGCTAGCAGAAATGTACAGTATGTGTGGCATTCTTCCAACAGGGTTTAGGGTTCAGTGAGTGCAGCAGAAGCCATTGAGAGTCCAACCAATGGTTGAGAGGAGCACCACTTCAAAACAAGATGCCTCATGTGTAAACTCAGAATAAACAATACACCATTAACAAGTGAGATTGCGTATTTTGCTTCGATATTCTGCACAACATTAACATAGCCAAAGCATGGGCCTCTTGTAAGAGGTAGGTGTAATGAGTTATCTGCATCACAATTACAGTAAAATTCAGAACAGCTTTTGGATGTTGCAGATTTAAGGGTGTTTTTGGTTTTACCCAGTTACCTCCGGGAACTTGCGTCTTGGAAACAGGCTGCAGTGCATGATTTGACTCATCACTCCCCTCAAACAAATGTTTACCTCAATGTTTACCCCAGCAATGACCACCTGATCCCACCCCCGCACCTGACATTTTGATTCCCCCTTTGTTTATACTGCTTCGCTAATTGGAGAACTGTTGTGATTTTTTGTGTTTGGACTCTTGGAAAGTCCAGCTGCCACGCTCTACTTCACCCACATAAAAACAATTTCACTGAGGTGATGTCACGGCAGTGGAGACCTGGATTGAGGCCCCCGTGACCAAACATGGACAGCGGAGGTGGGTGATATGACATAACCACGAACTGAGTTTACTAGCTGTCATCGAAATGTAAACATATTTTAAGTTGCTTTGTTTAGATATTTTTAACTTCCTCGTGACTCACTATTTTAATGATGAAATGATGATGCAAATGTTATCCTTTGACTCAATTTACTCCTGAGTTGATTAAACTTGTAAGTATTGTGAAAAACAAACTACTTTACATATGAGTGGAACGGCTAGGTACAATTCAACACAGAATGCTAGAGTGCTATTACTAAAATGAAGGTGGAGTGAGCAAACAGTTAAAGATCACATGAGGGAGGTTGGAAGAGATAAGAATCAGAGGTATGAGGATGAGAAACACAGCTGAAACTGCTGCAGAAAATCAATTACAGTGCACATACCACCCCCACATCACAGTCCACCTTTGGGTTGGTCTTACTGGTGTTTCTCACGCTAGGTTGACTTTACTAATAGTTTAAATGAATGGACATATAGATACATGGACAAATGCAGGGATGGGTGGATGCTTAAAACTGACTAAATCCTTACAGATCTCAAGTTTTTTTGAATTTCTGTCACACTGTACTGTAGATGACTGGTCACTGCATTTGTTAGCCAATGTTGAAAGGAACTTGAATCACACCTCCACTCCCTCAAACACCATATATTGCAGGGTTTCTGTGTGTGTCCATGCTTCTGGGTTCCACTCTTATGACAAGTGCGGACAACAACCAACATGACTGAGTCAGATCAAGAGGTTTTGCCCAGCAATGTTGCTATAGGTAACTGTACATCTTGGTAACCAAGCGTGACAGTCAAGTGTAATAAAAATAGTTCTGCTGCCTGGAGCAAACGTCTGCTTTAACACTTCATGTGTTCGTGCCATCAGTCTTCTTTTCTTATAGAAGTATCACCATGGGTATGAACCAATAAACCACTGAGGTATTTGTTAAAACAGGTCCAGGCAGGTTCTGAATACCTATCGGGTGTATGTCATAGGGACAAAGTTAATAAATGACTGAAACTGAAACTGTGAGAGCAATTAAAGCCCAGATGTAGTAATTGTAACTTAAAGTATATCAATCTAACTAAAACTATAAAGTTTCTGTACACATGAAAACATGTTGAATGAATTCACCGTAAAAGATCCTCTGAGGAATTTCCAAAAGAATCCTCTGATATAACATTTTATATGGTCTGCTGTTAATTGCCTGGAATTGTACTAAATTGCAGTTTTTATAATCTATTGTGTGGCATATATGATCCTGTTATTTACTGTAATATGAAGTTTATGAAGCTTTGAAAGGGATGAAGACAAGATCAGTTACTTTGTAAGAATATATTGCATGTTTTCAAGATTTAAAAAAAATACTGAGGTGAATAGTCCAAATCATTTTTTTTTTGACAAAACAAATGTGTAGTATGTTTGTAATGTAGAACATAAACTTCTTAATATCATTAAACCCCACAAATTCCCACAAAAATTCTTAAAGACATGGCCTCTATGTTTTCAAAGGCTTATGGCACTGCATGGTTTCTAAAATCATCAAAACCATCAACAGCCGGAATCGTGACCTTCTTAATTACATTGTATGCTGTTTTGCATGTTGCACCTTATTTTATTATAACTATCAGGATCCCAACATCCTTTGCTGAATTACATCCTGCTTCTAAGTCACACATACACTGCATGTGTGCTTGCACACACTCAGCTGTCTTTTGGCTCCATCTGCTGACAATCTTTGACTGACAGTCAACTTTAACTTTTAAGGTATCTTTAATTTTTTTAAGTGATTACAAGTGATTTCATCCTGTAAAATTATCTGTAGAAGAAATGCATTGGTTGAAAGTTTATTTCTCACCTTGGAAACTGTACTATTATAAAAAAAATATTAAATCCACTAAAACTTAATAGCTTTCTTTCAAATAAAAAAAAAAATTGAAGAGAAGTGAACCCATCATTTCATACTTAGGTCAGGGGTTGACAACAGAGCTGTCTCCATGACTAGCAAACTGAAATGTTTAACGTCTAGACGAGTAAGTGGACCATGAGTTAAGCTGTAGTCTTGAAATGAGCTTCGATTTAAATACTGTACAATATTTTGTGCAACATGCATTGGAGTCTTACAAGAACGTCCCTCAGGATTATGTTTCTGTTGTGATGGAGGCATGTAGGAATAATATTTAGCAACTATTTGCAGGTATTTAAAAAATAGATATTTTCTAAGAAATACAACTCCCATAATGCTCCAGGAGCAATGACGGACTCAAATGTCAAACTGCGCCTGCTCGTACCGTGGTCGGAAAAATGGCGGCACTGC